AACTACAGTAAGACAGAAATGCAATCTTAAATTGCTAGGCAGATTAAATGAACAAGATGGATAGTGAGAATCCAAAGGGGCTAACTGGCAAAGTTTTAAAGGTTATAGGTCTTAGGGACCTTAGGTTATCTAATGCAATGCCTCATTTCACAAATAAGGACATGAGGCCCACAGAAATTAGCTGACTTATCCAAGGTTATAGACAGCTAGCAGAGTACGGATTCTCCAGTCTTTTGACTCCAAATTCAGCATGTTCCACCCCTACCTCCATCCCTCCATACTACATTGTCTATCTAATGATCAAGAGTTATAATTTGATGTGATAGACAATTAGAGTTCATTTAGAGTCTGTAATTCAATTAAAAAAACCTTTGAAGACTAATGAGACAATTTTTATGAAGAATGATGTTTTTAGGAGAAAAATAAGGTCACTAAGTGTTTAACTGCAAATGTGAATCCTCTAAAAAAAATGGCTTCACTATCTTATATATGACTTTGGCGAGTCAACATAAGCATCATGTGTCTGAATTTCCACAAGATGAAAAAACTGGTGCTTATCACTCTCCCAGGCATAGTACGAGATTCTGTAATCAAAGATTGCAGACACTTCTAATTGAATGAATTCATATCACTCATGATATATTTTGATCCATTCCTTCCTATAAATATGAAAAATAAAGATAACTTCCCACTTTTTTAGAATTATCACAGCAGGAATCATGTACTTATACAGAAAAATACACTTCAGGGGTGGCTTCATAGTAATTACAAAAAGACTGATATTCTTATAAAAGTGTCTCAAAAGTCCTAGTTCAGTTTTTAAACTATTTAAGCAATCAAAGCTTTAAAATATACCAAGACTTTTGGGACAGCCTGGATCTTAGCTTTCTTTTGCTAAGACCTTTTACATTTTCATTTTCAAGTTACCTGAGACTTTGTCAAAAAGCAAGAAGATAGAGCCCAAAGAAAATTAACCTCTGATTCCTTTTAATGTAATTCCTTCCTTAAGGTGGCAACAATAGAGAGATAAAAATAGATTAATTTACCTCTTTAAGGCATTCTTTTAATGCAAATTTTTCTTTCTGCCACCAAAGGGCCTGAAACTGATCAAATGGTAAAAGATATCTTCATAGTACTCTCTGTGAGTATTTAGGTTCACTTGAAATTTATTTTTTTATTTGCATATAGAAGCCCTACTGAGTGATTCTTGAAGCTAGGAAATAGCTTTAGAAAGGGCTCAACAAATACGACTTTCATTTTATTAAGGCCCATTTTGTTGGTCAGCAGGATGCCTCATCACAACCCCACTGAGCTCAGCAGCACCTTGACAAGCAGCAGGGAATTAATCCTGGTTAACAGTTATCCTATAAAAGGACTGATAATTAAGAAGTCAAATGAAATGTAAAACCTTCAGTATCTTAAGGCATGCCTAAGCTCATAATAGTATTGTATTATTTATATATGCACACACCTCCCTGCTCAACTGTAAGCCCTAGAAAGGTGGGGCCAAGTTTTCATTATTGCCTATCCCTCACATCTAGTTAGTTACCAACAGAGCCATCACTAGGGTAGGCTATCATTAGTTACAATGGTGAGACCTCCTTACCCCATGCCCTGGGAAGCAGCTTGCCAGGCAGTAACTTCAGGGGACTGGTGTCCAGGGCTCTCTCTTCTTAGCCTTGTATGGTGAGATCTCCCTAAGTTCTGCCCCTCCCACCAATGCTTTAATGAATTTGTCACGTGTGAAAACCTTTTTCTTCCTTCAAGCTCCAATCTCCTCTATAAAGAAAGCATCTTCTGTCTTTGCCAGTTGAAAATAACACCCACCTAAAATTTCTCACTGAATTTCGTCTGGTCCTATCCTCTGAATTTCTCACCTAACAGTTACTTTTGCACATCTCACCCTTTCTCTTACATTGGAATTTTCTCAAGAACTCATACTAGAACTTAGTTATTCTTCATATTCCTGGTACTGAATATAGTACTTTGTAGGTAGCAGGCACATAGTAAATATCTGTCATTCATATGTATCTTCACTCCTCTCCAGGCTAGACATTTAACTCTCTGGACTTTTTCTACAGGCTAAAGAATGATCCTCATTCAGGTAGTTCACTAGCTCTAGGACTTCTCATACCTGGAGAACCTCTACCTGTGAGGCCCCTTCCTCTAATTGGTTGGTGCCTCCCAGAAAGCCCAGGCCAACCATGTCTTCATTCCTCTCCAAGCTCTACTCTTTGCTTCCCAGATTGTCTCTATTATTCCCCTTCATGGGTAACTTCTTCCTGTCCCTCCTTCCACTTTCAGCTTCCTTTTGTTATCTTCCTCCATTAGAACTTAAGCTTCTTGAGGCTAAGCACTATCATTCTTTCTGATATATTTGTATTTTCTGCTCTTGACACAGTGCCCAGCCCAGAGTAAGAGACTATTAAATGTCTGTTGACTTTATTATCAATTTGAATTATTGACTTTATATCCCTCCTAGTAGTCAGCATGCTAATGGTTATTGAACTAAATTTCTGAATTTATATTTCTCTCTAGTACCTAGAAGTGTGCTACATAACAGATGTGTAATGAATGATAAAGGAAGAAGGAAGAAAAATATCAAGGGATGAAGAAAGCAAGGAAGGAAAGAAGGAAGGAAGGGAATGAGAGAAGTTGATGAGGAAGAAAAAAGAGAGGGATAGAAAGGAGAGGGGAAGGAGAAAGTGAGAGAAGGAAGGAGGGACACATATTTGGATTTCATTTGGACTATCACACTAGATATTCTTAATTTACTCAAGCATCACAATTCCCCTCAAGGCCCCCACCCCCATCCCTTTAAAAGCACATATACTAATTCTTTTAGGACGTGTTTCAGGAATTACTTGATGTTTTTATTTGTTTATCCAATGGCTTAATATGTGGGCTGAGGACCCACACCAAGCCTAGGAGAAATTTTAGGTTCCAATATCATCAGCAGACCCTGTTACTAAATTTCTAAAATGTGTCTAATGTATGAAAAGTTTCTGGGATATTTGCAAGATTTTTAAGTACATACAAGACTCTTATCTTCTTTTTAAAGTTTCAAACTAGATAAATTATTGAACTCCTATCTGTTGAATTTAGTTAGACTAAAAGGATCTGATCCTAAGTTTAGAAACTTGGGAATTCCAACTCTGGTAGTGAAACTCAAAAGAAAAGTTGGATTATGAAGAGCTAAGATTCCTTGTATGAATGCCCTGAACATCTCTATTCTGAAGAAAATCAACCCCAGTATTCTGTTTTAAGCTATCTTTATGGGACATTTCCAAAGTATTCCTAAATATATTGTAAGAATTCAGGCTGGAGGTCACCAAAACCTTGGAAAACCAGATCTGTATTTGACAGTTCACAAGTTAGTTGCTAAGTAAAGTTGAAAATTAGTGCAATGGTTTGACAAAAATATCTAAGGATGCCTCTTAAAGACACATTATGTGATAGGGATAAGAACATATTAATAAGCAGTGGTACATTCACAGAATGCCTCTATTGATATCTCCCAACAGGGACAATGGTTCTTTTCAGGAGATTCACAAAATTTTAGAATGCCTTAGAGAGGCTGAACACCATGAGTGGACATTCTGTAGCTGGATCTGGTTAGTTAATCACATAGGAAAGAAGAAGTTTTCTGAATGAATGAAGAGGCATTCCACCAGGCCTGTCACACTTGGCATATGCCCTTTCGATGACTCCTTCACCCATAGTGTCTTGCCGGACAATGATATGTGGAAAAATACCTTAGGTTTTCTCCCTCTGAGGCCATGTTCTCCTGAGACAGGGCCTCATTTCTTGGCCTCTGAATTTGTTCTTTTCTGTTCTAGATGAAGGGAGTGGAGCCTCTGACTTTGTGAGTGTGGAAAGGTCAAAAGGTAGCATCTGCGTGTCATACAATCTAGGTATATAGTCAGTGTAGGATTAGCGCCCTGAGGAACAAGAAGTGGTATTTGAGTGTGACCTTCAGGATCCCAGTCCAGGAGTATATGAGAAAAGGAATCATCCTGAAGCGTTACTTCCTTTGGATATGAACTTAGCGGGACCAACGCTATGTAGGAATTGCTTCAGTCTCCCCAGATACCAGGTAGGTAAGCGTATAACTCTGAGATATGGGGGGAATATTTAAATTTGCCATATATTTGAAATAAATATCTTTTTGTAGACTCTAATTGATGTTAAGTGTTTAAATGGAACTAGAACATAAATCACTGGCCCCTAATTTTGGGTGTGTGTGGGAGACCACTGGAACCACTGGAGGCTGAAGCCAATGGCAACAGTGAAGAGGAAACATGGAAGCCCTCAAGGTGTCCCAGAATACCGAGGAGAAGATTAGTAGGCCTGGCACTGAGAGAATGAGTCAGAGTTTAATTCTCTATACATTAAATAAGTAACTAAAAACTTAATGGGTACATTCAAGTAAGTTGTCCAGGAGAGTGGAATTCTTTGAAAGGAAGTAAACATGCTAGTGGTGGTGTATGAGCTTATGGATAATGTTCTAGTCATGGGCAGAAATTCTACTGAGCTCAGAGTATTTCATAACAATTATGTATATTCACCTTTGGAATGAACATGAATTCTGTTCAAGAGGTTAAACACAAAGAACTGTAAACTCTCTGTTATTCAGTACTCTAGTCTTTGCAACATCCTAACAGTTATTATTTCAATATTGCTCATTGTGTTTGTTTAAATTTTGTTCATATGTTGTTTAACTGATGTTCATAATAGCAATGAGAAACTACAAGATTTTAAAGAGGTTATGAATGAAGTAGAGGGTGACTTCTTAATGAAAGATTAAATTATGTTCAGTAGAATTTTCCTACAAATACATTTGCATGTATTCTAATTTTTCTTATGCTGTTAAATTATGTATGTACAATTACTACCATTCTATTAAATAGATTACTTGACTGGTCCATCTGCTAAATATGACAAACATAAGAAAATTTACAGTCTTGCAGATATAACACTATAACATAATTATCTCTTACCTGTGACCAGTTCTCGGATCTCCAGATCAGTAGTCTTGCGTAGTAACCGTACTAATGCTGGGATGCCCCCACAGTTTTTCAGGGCAATTTTGTTATCATCATTAGCTTTCCCATACACCAAGTTCCTCAAAGCTCCACAGGCACTACGATGGACTTCTGTCATCCGATGGTCCAACAGGTCCACCAATAACTGTATGCCTCCTTGTCTTCTTATCTGAAATATCCAACATATAAAACATTTGTCTGAGGGAATAAGGATTTACTCTTAAGATTAAGAAAGGGTCCTCAGATTACACATTCTCTTTAATCAGCATCATTGTGAGCTATTCAAAGGGAAAAGAAAACAAGTTAGCCTCCTTTTTGGATTCTGGCAATATTTTCTTTAATGCACAGCAAAGAAAAAGTGCAAGCTTTTGCATTTAAATCACAGAATCTTATTATTTTTATACTTCAAAAAGACTGTAACATACCTTTATCTATGCAAATGTGTTGAAATAATATGAAATGTACAGAAGAAAGAATTATTATTTTTCAGTATAGTTTTTTCTTTTTTAGAAATTGTCCAAAATCTTTAAAAGCATCATTAGACTGATATTCAAATTTTAAAACAATGCTTAATTGGGGAACTCTTCAAAGATTTCAATTTACACTTGGATTCTATATGGATAGGCCAAAGCAATTAGGTTGGGAAGTTCATTTACAATGCTACCTAGAACCAAAAACATTTAAGTACTTTTAGACAAAGAGTTGGCCTTGAAGTAAAGAAGATATGGATTCAAACCCAGCCTCCCATGTAAAATGGTGTGTAACCCTAGGTAAGTCACTAACCCTCCCTATGCTCTTGGCTATTTGCATTGATAATACATTTCAGAGAGGTGAGGACCTGCATTGGTAGACAGTTTCCTAGATCAATGAAATGACAGTTTATGTCCCAATCTCTATTTCTATCCTTAGTTCATGGGGGTTGGGGGGAGGAGGAAGAGGGTTGGAAAGAAACCCTTCAGTTCCATATTTACAGAACAGAACCAAACTAACTTGTGAATTTCACACAAACAGGACAAAACTGCTTAGAGAACATTTCCTTTAGTGAATGTCGGAATGGCTTTTAAATAGATTGGATTTTAGGTATATTTTAAAATTAGAAACAGCTAAGCTGCCAACAAAGCAAAGTGGGTGCTTAATATAAAGACTATTTGATGAAGTTTTTGTTAGAAAAGATGCATTTGAGCATTTCTGATTTTAAAATGGGAAAGTGACCAAATCACACTCAGCAATTTTCTTTACTTCAGTGTTTTCCAGTGGCCCAAGAATTTTACTTTGGTAATTTATCTGTTGACTTCAAGATGACAGAATTTCATGATAGTGCACACCTTGGGGAGCAAACACAGAATAGTGGGAACCTTCTCTATATGATCTGTGCCCTTTTGTAGCCTGTTTGAAATTCCTATCATTATTCACTCTTCAGGGTTATAGTATTGAACTTTGTTTTAAATGCAAACATGTTATCTGGGAAGGGCAGCTACTAAGCTTTTAATACCTTAACATGTTTATCAGGTTGACTATCAGAAAGCAGGTCTTGAGCAAATGGGATGCTGACCATAGCTACATTTTAATTGAGCATTGGTAAATTCACAGGAAAAGCAGGCTTGGGGGTGATGTCCTGGGTAACTTACATTAGGGCATCATGGGCATCTTATAGAATGTGGCTAAGGAAATTATAAAAGCAATAAAAATGGATGATGGAGGGCTGGAAACAATCTTTTGTTTATTTATAATTTGGCACAGGGCAATCCCTGTGTCTGTGCTTTGACAGCTTGCTATTTATTTGGGAGAGGAATGCTGTTTATGTGATTATATACAAGGCCTCAATTAATAATCAAATCTATGACAAACTGAGGCACTATACTATGTTATAAAAGGTCTGAGTAACTATTTTAGGTACTGATTAAAAAGACAACCTCAACAATATAAAGGTGAATTTAAAATATTAGATTTTAAACAGATTTTATTTTTATTCTTGCTTTGAAAAATGTTAAAATCTAATGCATTCTTAGGCTGCATTAAAAGAAACATAGCATTCAAGACTTGGAATATCAAAGACTTACTGACCACATCTATAGAACAGAACTATAAAATTTTAAGGACATTGATGAACTACAGAACATAAGGAAAATGATAACCTGGATGGTGAAGTGTCTTAAGATGTCATATGAAGATTAATTGAAGGAACTGAGATGTTTGTCACTAAGGAGAGAAGACCTAGAGGGCAGAACTTGGAACAATGAGTATAAGCTGCAAATGTAGACTGGATGTCAGGAAGAACTTCCTTACAATTATAGCCTGATGTATCAGAGTGAGTGTAAATAGCAATGGTTTCTGTTTTAGCCAAAACCCTGGAGGTCTTTCCCTTTCAGACTGATTTTTTTTTTTTGGACTAGGTAAAAGAGGCCATTCTCTGCCTCATTTCTTACCTAGCCTTAGTCACTGAATGAGTGTTGCCTCAGTCAAATTGAGACCTGAGAAAGACCTTAACTTATAAAGGCCAAGATGTCCTACTGCATCCAGGGCCATCTCCAGTTGTCCTGATCTATGTCTTGCCAGTGGGCCCAGATGTCTCTGGAGGAAAGAATGAAGCTGATGACTTTGCACAGTCCTTCCTCACTTAAATTCGATTCACGTGCAGGTCATGGCATCAGTTTCCTGATGTCATGGTCCTCTTCAAGAATGAAGGACAAACAACAGTAATTCAAAAGTAGATTAGACTGCCTCAGGAAGTCATGGGTTTCCCTTCCCCAGATGTCTCTTTTGAAAAGTTAGATAACCACTTGTTGAGTGTATTACAGGGACAATTGTTGTTCAGATATAGGTTGGAGCAGATTGGCTCTGGGATCCCTTTCCCCTCTGGCATTCATGATTCTGATTGTAGAATGTCTCTTTAGAGTTATTCACAACTGCTTAGATGGCTATTTTTATATATGAAAACATGTAATTTGATTTGATGGTTTATATATAAATAGAAAAGGTATTTACAAGATTTCTTGTTTCATACATAATTACTTTCCTATTTCTGCTAGTTCAGTATAATATACTGGATCCCCATAAACTTGTTTAACAGATTAAACTATAAGACACATTTCCCCCCAAAATAAGGTTATGGAAAAACAGAATTGGAGATGGAGATAGAACAAATATGGGGGTATAAGATGCATAAAATTATTTTTTTATATTGTAACATGCACATTCCCAGATATAAGATATACATTATGTCTAACTAAATCTTATATTCTATAATAAATATACAATCATAGATTTCAAGTTGGAGGGAACCTTAAAGAGTAGATACAGTGACCCTCTCATTTGACAAATTTGAGAACTGAGGCCTATAGAGGTTAACTAACCTGCCCAAAATTACACAGGTACTAAGTGGCAGATCCAGAATTCAAGCCCAGGTCCTTTCCACTGTTATCATTCTGTCTCCTAATTCATTCAATGAAACAGAAAGAAGGCCATCTTCTTCTAAGTCCAGAAATCTGGCACCTTACAGAAGACACTGCAGCCCCAGACATTTTCTCCAATACTGGTTGTACCTTTGCTCATGGTTCCAGGCACAACAGACAAGAGGAGAATGAAATAAGCAATTAAATCATATTCCTCAGTGCCCCTCCTGAGCAAGACCCTCCCAACTACCACGATGACTCAGCATCCTCTCCAGAAATATCACCATTTTCAGAACAGATGATTCTTCTGTCTCTCTGAAGGGTTCCAGTACCTGAGCTGTTTTCTTCAAAGACCCTTGCTTCACATTTCATCAAATGTCCCATGATCCACATCTTTGCTCCACTACAACTACATGTAGGGGTAGCTGCACCATTGAGCTTATTTTTACTTACAAGTGTTCATCTCTACTACCCATAATTTAGATAGTTCTTTGTCTAAAACCTCTTATCCATCCTTTTCTTCCTCTCTTCACCCCCTCTAAACCTATCTCTGTCTTCATGCTAACCTCTAATCACTCTACCCTACTCTGCTTTCTTAGGGCATGATACCATTACCTTTGTTCTGGCTTTTTTCTGTCCTTCCAAATCTGACCCTAATTAATTCCTATATACTATCCTAACAATTAAAACTAATCCAAAGTGGGTTAGCACTACCTACCTCTCCATCTCCCCAAAATGTTTTTGCTGCAGGTGAAAATATTTCAGTTATGGTTCTGTCAAACACAGAAAATATGTCATAAAGTTACAATAAATAGATAATCTGAGTTCGAGATGCTGCTACCCCTAGCAAATTTATAAATTTCTTGGAAGGCTGGACTCTCCCCCTTTCTGAAGAGTTTCGAGGAGAGGCTGGTTGGCCATCTTTTAGGGATCTCATCGAGGAGATCCCTGTTCATGTACTAACAGTATTAGAAAACCTTTCAGATCCCTTCTAAATCTGAGATTCTATAGTTGTCACCACATGATAGTTATTTCCTCCTAGGAAAATTTTAATGAAATATCATATAAGGACTTATAAAAAGGGAATAAGAGAAATAGGCTTAGCAAGGAAAAATATTCACGGTGGGGGACAGAGGTGGTAGTAAGGAGTTAGGCTGAGGGGTAGGCACATAGGTATAGCACCCTGGAAATAAGGGACAGTACTATAGAAATTTGGGAGAAAGGAGGGATAGCAGGCTTCCCTAAGATGTTGGCAAAGCTCTCCTAACCCTGTGTTAGTTTGCTCTGGCATTTGAACTCCCTTGTTTAGGGTCTTTTTAGACAGCAGGGTAAGCAGTGCCACTTTGATTTCACTTCCAGAATATATGAAGTAGGGGGTAGCTAGGTGGCACAGTGGATAAAGCACCAGCCATGAAGTCAGGAGGACCTGAGTTCAAATCCAGCCTCTGACCAAACATTTGACATTTACTAGCTGTGTGACTCTGGGCAAATCACTTAACCCCAGTTGCCTAAAATAAATTAAAAAAAAGAATACTCGGGGTAAAAACAGAAAAAAACTAATATTCTAATTCCATTACTAAGAGGGTTTTTTGTTTTGTTAGGAAGAGATTTTTATTTTGTTTTGCTTTGTTTTCCATTCAGTTCTGTTTTCCTTCCCCCCCCCCCCAGGAAGAAAGAGTAAGGATTAGAAAAGGAATGGAGAAAAATCATTCCTTTCCTTAAAAAAAATCCATTTTTATAGTTCTTGTCCAGAAATTAGAAATGAGAAACTGATAGT